GCTAGCATTTCTTTCTCTGATATGGTATAACGTCGTTCCGCATTATTCAGCTTGCGACTTTCGTAAGCGATCGGGTGACCGTCTTGGAGAAGGACACCACCTAAAGCGTAGTCTGAAGCATCCGTTTCTACTTCAAATGGCTTCGTCACGTCGGCTAGCCCAAGTACTGGGCCTTTCATCATGGCCGCCTTTAGATCTTCGAAGGCGTCCTGACTTTCCTTCTACCACATCCAGGTCATTCCTTTCTTCAGTAACTCTGTCATTGGGGTGGCTCTCCTTGAGAATCTTTCGATAAATCATCGGTAGTAGTTGGCCAACCCCAAAAAGGAGCGCAACTCGATCACAGAGGTAGGGACTCTCCATTCTTGGATCGCCTTTACCTTATCTGTGTCCATACTGATTTGCCCCTGTTCGATCACGTGGCCAAGGAACGTGATCCGCTTTTGTGCGAACGCACACTTTTCCTTCTTTACGTATAACTGATTCTGCCTTAGTTTGTCGAAGACCAACTTGAGATGGATCTGGTGTTCTTTCAGCGTCGGACTGTATACCACTATATCGTTTAGATAGACTACCACAAACTGATCGAGATATTTGTGAAAGACCTGATTCATCATAGTACAAAACGTGGCAGGGGCATTCGTTAATCCAAAAGGCATCACGAGGAATTCAAAAGCCTTATACCTCATCACACAAGTAGTTTTAGGCTCGTCACCTTCTGCAATACGCACTTGGTAGTAGCCCGACCTGAGATCCAATTTCGTGAAGTATTTAGCTCCATGTAATTGATCAAACAGGTCGGTTATGATTGGGAGGGGATACTTGTTGCGAACCGTGACTTTGTTGAGGGCTCTATAGTTAATGCACAAACGCAACGTCCCATCCTTCTTTTTCTGAAACAGCACAAGGGCTCCGAAGGGAGTTTTAGCTGGACGGATGAACCCAGCGTTTAACAACTCATCTAGCTGCTTTCGGAGTTCGGCTAACTCCGATGGAGCCATTCGGTAAGCATTCTTTGCCGGAGGTTTAGCTCCTGGAATGAGCTCGATTTCGTTGTCAATCCCTCGTCGAGGAGGTAAGGTCTTTGGTAAACTATCTGGCATTATGTCAACATACTCTCTCATGACAACTTGAATTTCAGGTGGGACATCTCTTGTCTCCACCGGCTGTTCAACCATCGGAATGGCCATAAAGGTAGGTTCCTCCCGGTTGAGGCCTTTCTTCAACTGTAACGCGGATATCATCCTTATGCCACCAGGTTGTTTGATGCTAGCTGTGACCACGGTGGGACTATTACTAGTGACAATCATACACTTGGCCAGAGGCATCGGTATGACTTTATGTTCGATGAGGAACTTCATCCCCAGTACAACGTCGAAGTCGTCCATGCGAACTACTACGAAATCGACACTGTCTGTCCACGTTCCCAATTTCAACATTACTCTTTTAGAAACTCCCACAATGGGTAGAGCTTCAGAGTTGACGGCCTTCATCTTACCCGTATCCTTCTCAATTGTCAATTTCAGTCGGCGGGCTTCCTGTTCTGATATGAAGTTGTGGGTTGCACCCGAATCCACCATGGTGCTCTTTGCAGGGTTACAATTGATCGTAGCATCTACAAACATAAACCCCTTTTCGGACGTTCCTTTGGGTCCATTGACCCTCTTTTGAATGGCAGATAGGAATTTATCGCCCCCATTCTAGGTGTTTCTTCGTCTTCTTCCTTCTCACAATCCGTTTCAACTTCAGGTTCATTGCACGACTGAACGAATGCTTGAAGGGCAGTAAGGGCAGCTCGGTGCGGGCATTCAGCTACCCGGTGAGGACCCTTGCACAAGAAGCATGATATCGACCTTTGAGCGTTTTGACTTTGTGGATAGGGTCCTCGGGAAGGACCGGGATTCGGGCCTTGAGGTCTCTTGTCAGCTCCCCCACTCTTTGGGGTAAAGGGTGTGAACGTCTTGTTTCCCCCAGTGGGGTTTGTAGCATTCTTTTTCGGGTGGGATGGCTCACTGCTATAGTCTAGCAATCTTTTGGCAGCGGCCATGGCGGTGGCAAGGTCTTGTACTCTTTGTTCATACAGCTTGGTTCTGGCCCACGATTTCAATCCTTCGATAAAGACGAACACCTTGTCTTTCTCTGACATGTCGCGAATATCCAGCATCACGGCAGAGAATTGTTTCACGTAGTCCCGGATTGTTCCAGTGTGTCGGAGTTCACGTAGCTTCCTTCTAGCCATGAACTCGACATTGTCGAGGAAGAACTGACTCCTCAATTCTTTCTTCAGATCATCCCAGCTATTGATCGTGCATCGACCATTCTGAATGTCGTTGACTTTAGATCTCCACCACAGCTTTGCATCATCAGTAAGATGYATGGTGGCCAAAGTCACTTTCATCTCTTCTGACGTTGTCCCYGTAKCCTTGAAGTACTGTTCTACGTCGAACAKGAAGTTCTCGAGATCTTTTGCGTCTCTATTGCCATTAAATGGTTTGGGCTCTGGGACCTTCAACTTGTTGAACCCCATGTTCGCTTGGTTRGGAGYCTKATTTCCCACGGCTCGYATGGTTAGGTTCACTCTAGTGCTTATTTCAGTCATCTCAGCTCGGAAGGTGTCGATGGTTACTTTGAAGTCTTCTGTCATTTCGTTAAACAATTGCATCATTGC